TTCCATCCTTCCGAGGTGGGTAAAATGAGGACCTGGATTGTTTTTGGGGGCAATATGCTGACTCTGTAAACAGCTTAGGGAGGGCTGAAAGCCCTATGAAGCAGTATGTAAGTCTAACTGCTATTGCAATTGCTATTGCTAATAAGAAACTCACGCCTGTATTTTCTTTTTGCTAACTTTTTATTTTAAAAAGTTTGTATTTCTGTGACATTTCTGTATAGTTTGAATGAGAAATCCAATCTCAAAAATTTATATATTGAAGTAACTTTTGGTTTAAAAAAAAAAAGACCTGATCAACTTAGTCTATATTTAAATGCACTACACAGTGTGACTCATTTACTTGCTGTCAAACTAATATCTTCATTTTCCTCCCTCTCCAAATCTAATTTAGAGATACTCATCCCAGAGCCCTGCGTGCTACAGGAAACTTTGTGATTTAGAGTCACTACAAAGCAATTTTTTTTTAAAAAAATGAAAACAAATCCTGTCATCCAAGCTGCCATTGACCTCACAGCTGGGGCTGTAGGTAAGTCTTGGGAACTGCTGTTTACATAAATCCTGTTAAAAACTGATAACAGATGCTTGTATGCTCTTTAAACAAAGCTCTTCTCTGGAGGTGTAAGGTAATTCGGTTGACAGCAATATAGGTCCTAAAAGTGACTTTTATACTGGAGGGCACTAACAGGGAATAATGTTTTGACCTTGCCCTAAATTATGAGCTTCCCATGAATTGCTTCCTTTCGTCTAACCCCTTCCTACGGAGGAAAGGTAAATGTGTAAGCATTTCTTTGTCTAATAATTTCCTAACTGTGGCTTTTAATTTATTGAGCCCTTATTTCATGCTTACACAAGCATTTCAAAATATGTCACAAGAAAAAGTTGAGCAATGACCGATTGGAGAGACAAGATAATCTTCGTTTTATGTTGCATTCTATAGTTAAGTGGTGTGCGGGTCAGTCAAATGCCTTTTATTGGTTTGTTTTCAGGAACACAGCAGTGTAGATGGCAGCTATTGGTATTTCTCTATAGTCTCAGCTGTTACCCAGGTGAAAAGGGAAGACTGCCCATCAACCACAGACACAGAACAAACCTATTTCAGTTTGGAGCATTGGGCTCTCCTTGGCGGGAGCTTTCTCCCTCCCAGGCCAAGCAGATGCTCACAGGAAGCCTATAAGCTAGAGAAACAAGACTTCTTTAAAGTGAAAACCAGCTGTTTGTGTAAAATAGAGGAAAGCTGCAAATTTGCTCTCGAGACGCCTGTCCTTCTGATGAGACTTGCAGAGAAAATACTGCTGATATCAGAAGCCCCCAAAATAGGTTCCAATGCAGAACTGCTGCCTTTTCCTCCTGCTAGCTCTGATCTAGGTGTATCATCTAGGCCAGGGATTCCCAACCCCCGGTCTGTGGACCGGCATAAGCCCCTGGCATGCCAGCAACCAGGCTGTGCAAACAAGCAAAGCCCCATCTGTGGGATGCAGGTAGCACGTGAAACCATGCCCCGATCCCTGGTGCCCCAAAAGTTGAGGACCGCTAATCTAGGTCATCAGTGGAGTTTTAATAGCCAGCATATTGCCTGAGGAATTCTGAAAGTTGAAGTCCACACATTTTAAAGTTTGCAAAGTTAAGAAATACTACTTTATTGTATATCTGGGCAAAGATCCAGAAGTGAAATCTACAAGAAGCCAGTACTAATAGGAAAGAGAAAATGGCAGGGCTCATTTAACTGCTTGCTTGTTCTGTTCTTTAAGAAGAAGGTATGAAAAGCAGAAAATGAAAATGCCCACATGCCCAGGACAGAGTCAAGCTTGTACCTTCCTTGCATTTCTTAAGTCGGTGTAGTTGTCACCACTGTGGAAGGATAGGGTCTTTTCTAGACCATTAAAAATGATTGTCAAGAGCACAAAATAATTAATTTCACTTGTAAAATGCGTGTTCTTGGATGCAAAGAATTATTTTTATAGTTCA